TCCCGCCGGGGCTCCCTGCCCAAGCTGTTCTCTAACCAAGCTCTCCTTTCCAGCCTGAACCTCACCAACAGTGACATCCTCACCATTTATGATGGGGACGAGCTCACCGCCCGCATCCTGGGGCAGTACGTTGGCAGCAGTGGTCCCCAGAAGCTCTACTCCTCCAGCCCTGACCTCACCATCCAGTTCCACTCAGACCCTGCCGGGCTCATCTTTGGGAAGGGGCAAGGATTCATCATGAACTACATAGGTAGGGAGAGCGAGGCTCTGGGTGCATCCCGTGCCCTGCCACTGCAGTGCAGGTGGGGACCGTGACACGCAGCCAGACCAGGTTGTCCAGGTGCCGGGTTTGGAAGCGGGGAGAATTGCTGTGACACCAGCACTCCACATCCCACCCAGCTCCTGCAGAAATCCCCAGCCCCACTGCAGGTCTCTGGATCAGTCAGTTCTGGGGTGTCCCCGTATGTCTCCCCTATTCTGGGCTGGCAAGAAGGCAGTGGTATTTTTGGTCCCTGTTGGCCCCGGTCTGGCCCAGTGCAACTGCGGAGCAGAACAGGGAGAGAAATTGCTGGAAACAGGGGTGCAGGATTCCCACCACACACACTCCATCAGGCATGGAGCTGATGGCACTGAGGCACTGCAGCGAGGTGTCCTCCTAGGAGAGGTCACTGAAGCCAGTCCCTGGGTGGGCTCCTGAGAGATGTTCCCAGCTCACAGCTCCTTGCTCCTGAGAGGCTTAGACTACATCTGGAGATGTCTGCTCGCATTGTCCTTTGGTGCTGCCACTTCTGCCGGACCAGGGCAGCTGATGCCCAAGGAAGGCACAAGGACTGGGAAGGGCACTCCTGTGGTCTCACTGCATGCTTCTCCCCCCACCTGTCTTCCCCTGGCAGACTTGTTCCAAGCATGTTTTCTTTCCACTGCTGACAGCGCCGGTTATGACAAACAGAGAGCAAGCTGCAATGCAGATCACCTGCGAGGCTGCGGGTCCCCTCCTCAGTGCACTGCAGCACACGCAGCCAGGCTCAGCCATGGGCACAGTGCTTGGTGGGCACGGGGCTGGGGAGAGCAGGGCAGAAACCCTTCACCAGGGCAAACCAGCCGTGCTGTGACCATGGCATCTGCACTGCTCCTCCCGTGCGCCTGCAGCCAGAGCTGAGCCTAGTGTTCCCAGGTTGCTCTTTTTGTCCTGACCCCAGCAAAGACATTGCCCTGTTTTCATCAGCACAGCCCTCCGCCCGCTTTAAGGGTCAGGGCTGGGGAGGTTTCAAAGAGCTTCCGTTACCCACTGCTGCCCCGCTGCCCCTTCCCTCTGCCCAGGGGATGCCATCTGCGGACTGGGCTGCTGGCTGTGGCCATGCCGGTTGCAGTGCATGGGGCTGGAGAGCTCTTGGGGAGGGACAGGCACATGGCAAAGAGCTGTGTTGTCCATGTGCAGCAGCTCTGAGTAGGGCTGTGCCGTGGGGTCTTGCTTAGCGGGTGACGGCCAGCATCTCTCTTGGCTGCAGAGGTGTCCCGCAATGACTCCTGCTCCGACCTGCCTGAGATCCAGAATGGTTGGAAAACCACATCGCACACGGAGCTGGTGAGAGGGGCCAAGATCACCTACCAGTGTGACCCGGGCTATGACATCGTGGGGAGTGACACCCTCACCTGCCAGTGGGACCTCAGCTGGAGCAGCGACCCACCCTTCTGCGAAAAGAGTAAGTGCCCCGAGCAACGTGCTGCTGTCCCCATGGCATCCCCGTGACCCACACCACTTTGTGACGGCTGCTGGTCCCCGCTGCCGTGCCGGGGCTCCCCACTCAGACGGCCTCTTTTCCCCAGTTATGTACTGCACAGACCCGGGGGAGGTGGAGCACTCAACCCGCCTCATCTCTGACCCGGTGCTGCTGGTGGGGACCACCATTCAGTACACGTGCAACCCCGGCTTTGTGCTGGAGGGCAGCTCGCTGCTGACCTGCTACAGCCGCGAGACGGGGACGCCCATTTGGACCTCGCGGCTCCCACACTGCGTCTGTAAGTTTGGGCAGTTTCCCCTGCTCTCCCGCAGCTTAGCTCCTCTGCTCGGGGGGTCCTGGGAAGCCCTTTCCCATAGCCGAGACCTTCCCCAGCCATGTGGGGTGGTGCAGAGCTTTGAGCTACCTGAAAGTGGGATGGGGTGGGATCTTGGGTGCTTCCCTGCTGCCTCCCAGGCTCCTTCTCTCCCTCAGCAGCCCAAGCCCTGGGGCTCACCCTGGGATGTGTTTCCTTTCAGCTGAGGAGTCACTGGCCTGTGACAATCCAGGACTGCCAGAAAATGGCTACCAAATACTTTATAAGCGCCTCTACTTGCCAGGAGAGTCCCTGACCTTCATGTGTTATGAGGGCTTTGAACTCATGGGGGAGGTTACCATCAAATGCATCCTGGGCCAGCCGTCCCACTGGAGCGGACCCCTGCCCATCTGCAAAGGTAACGGTGGGGGGTGGCTGGGGAGGGGGGCATGGGGACAGCCAATGCCTCTGTCCCCAACCCGGGACAGCCTGGGGACCTTCGTCTGGCTGCAGACCCCCAATGATTCTCTAGCCAGGAGCTGAACTCATCTGAGGCCTGGGTACTTTTCTGGATTTGTGCTGAGCAAGTTCTGCTGCCCTGGGAAGGGGGAGCAAACCCTCTGGCCACCGTGCTGGCGGTGTGGGGCGTGCAGGGTGGGCCTGGCTGCTCGCTTGCTTTTCGTGCTTTGTTGCTTCCCATAGCGGTCTGCCAAGGCTCAGCAGGGATGCTCTCCTTGGGCACCTGCTGAGATGGGAGAACTCAGCCCCAGGAAACCCTCTAGGTGCTTGTCTAAATAAAGTGTCTGGGTTTAGTGTGCTTTCTGGACACAGGAGGACCCTCCTGTTGCCACTAAGCTGCAGGGATGGATTGTTCTTAATTACTACTTAATGAGAACAAGTGGAGACCTTGTCTCTTGGGCAGCGGGGCTCTCTGGAGGGTACCACCACCCCAGGCAGAGCCATCCTGCCAGTGTCTCGCTTGCCCAGCCCGCTCAGTCCTGTGCACGCGCTTACAGAGACTGAGAGTTTATTAAAAACTGAAAATTTGCAGCATGGCTTGGGACCAAATGGGGCAGGCAGACCCCAGGCCTGGGCTCCCCACGCAGCCAACAGCTGCCAGCACCCAGTCAAACCCAGTTACATCCCAGTAACTCTCCATTTCTCTTCCAGTGAATCAAGACAGCTTTGAACATGCTCTGGAAGGTGAGTGACATGCATTTGCTGGGTGAGCCCTGTGCAAGGCCCTCAGCCAGAGCCTGCATGGAGCCCAGGAGGAGGGAGGGGAGAAGCAGAGGCAGAGAGGGGATCACAAGGTGCTTGCAAATGCCAACATAATAGATCTTGTCCTTTTAGTAGCAGAAGCTGCTGCAGAGACATCACTCGAAGGGGGAAATATGGCCTTAGCCATATTCATCCCGGTGCTGATCATCTCCTTGCTGCTGGGAGGAGCGTACATCTATCTCACAAGGTGGGGCGTGCAGTCAGGCTGGGGGGCCGGTGGCAGAGCCCCATGGGCACGTGGCCAGGGCTGGCTCAGCATTGCCGTGCCCTCACCGGCCGCACACGTTCAGGCACGGTCCTGGGGAGCCGGGCACCGAGCTCTCACTCTGGGGTCCCTGGGGCGCTGGTGGGGAGCTGGGATGGGGGGGGCGTGGGAGGATGGGGCTGCTCATGCTTTGTTCTGGGGTTGTGCTGTGCAGCCCAGTGACTCTTAAATCTCCCCCGCAGGTGTCGGTACTACTCCAGCCTCCGCCTTCCCCTCATGTACTCCCACCCCTACAGCCAGATCACAGTAGAAACGGAGTTTGACAACCCAATTTATGAGACAGGGGTGAGTCCTGCTGCACCAGTTCCTCCCTGGGGACCATCCTGACGGGGAAGCACGGGTTTTGCCTGGTGTGCAGCAATAGGATGAGTCCGGCCATCCTGATGTGGGAGCACTGAGTAACGGGGCAGGAGGCTCCATCCTTGTCAGTCGCTCCCGAGTGGCCGGGTGGGCTCCAGCAGGCAGGAGGAGGCAGAGGGGGCTGAGGGGTCTCAGCAGGGAGGGCACCACTTCACCAGGAGCAAAATGACACCCAGGGCCTCTCTTGCCACCTGGGAATGGGGAGATTATCCTGAAACACAGCTGCTGCCCTCAACTGGCTTTTCCTTCTTTTCAGGAAACAAGAGAATACGAAGTTTCAATATAAGGACAGCGGTAAGAGAGTCTCCGGCTGCGAACTTAATGTGCTCTCATAGAACTTCCTCAGTAACTAATCCAGAGACCACGTGGAGTTTGGTTGGACCCCTGGACCTGCTGTTGTCTTTCCTTTTGCCTCTTTATTGAAGATTTTACTGTTTTCTTCACTGTATTTATTCTATTTAAACTGCGATAGGTATGCTGCAGAGCCCTGGGAGCAGGCAGCAGTGGGAGCCAGGGCAGAGCTGGGTCCCGGTGAGGCCAGGGTGTCACGGAGGCATCCGCTGTCATCCCCGCTCTGTGCGGCGGCACGTCCCCGGCACTGCCCACATCCACGCAGGGGGATTTTTGCGGTTCTAATGTTGTCAAAAATTAAAAATGTCTCCATTGCAAGAGCCTGCAGTTGATTGCTGGGGGCTGAGGTAGGCGCAGGGTTTGCCGCAGGTTCCTGCCAGTGCTGCCAGCCCTCCCCATCCCACAGCTCCCAGCTCCCTTTGCCCCGAGCGGGAGCTGCAGCCAGGGCCTCGGGGGCTTGCGTGCCACCGGCACAGGGACCATCCTTGCTGCGGGGAAGCGGAGTGCGGCTCAGGAAAGCTGCCAGCCGGCATGGAGCCCTGCTTGCTGTGCCCAGGGAGCAGGGGACGGCCTGGCACACACGAGATACATGCCACTTTCTTTTCCCGCTTTGCTTTGGATGCTGGAGAGGCAGCGAGCCAGGACTCACAGCTCTATGGAGAAGCATTAACCAGCAACCCCCCAGCAGCCCACTGCCTGGAAGCCGTAGGAAACCTCCCTGGGAACGGGGAGCGGAGCAGCCAGCACCTCTTTGCTCACACCCGTTGTTCCTCATTAGTAACACTCAACCATGACCCTTGCCAGGAAAACCCCAGTCCCGCTAACGGGACTCTTGCCCCCCGGTAGCATCTCAGGGTAAGCAGGACAGACTGGGCTCCCTGCCACCGCTCCCGCTGGCT